CACCCACTTTCCTTCTCTGCTCTTATTTGAACTTCTAGAATGTGCTAGAACTTTATATTTGAATTTCAAGAAAAAAAAAAAATCCAACACATTCTTGTTAGAGCATTAATAAATATATTGTAATATAAGCTACCATTGAGAGAGAGAGTCTTTATTGGACCTGCAATAACCGTGTGTCTCAGCTGCAATTTTTTTATTGTTCTTCAGGTTGATTTTAGAAATAAATGTTTGTCCTGCTTTTCAAATCCTTACCATTTGCCTCAAATTTAGCTTACGCATTACTCGATGGTGGTAATGGCCAACTCTTAGTGACATTTTTCTTTGTTGGATAAGTTGATTCTTTTTACTTCATGAAATCCAAAATAAAGCTTTTCCTTTTCATCTTGACCTTGAACTTGTCCTGGTTTGTTGTGTCATTAGTCAACTAGTGATTGTCTTCAAAAAACACTTTGAAACCTTTCTCAATTAGTTTCCCAACACTGAGAAAATTTTATTGAAGATTGATTCCAAAATTAGTTAAAATATGCTGTAGATATTTTACAGATTTTTCCTCATTTTTGCAGAATAGTTTTTTGCAGATGTTTCCTAATTTTATGCAGCTTAGTTTTTCTTGTTTTTTTGCTTTTGTTAATTTTTATTAAATACATAATTTCTAGATATTATGTCATGATTTTTGGCATTTCAGTTTGGTTGTAAGCTTATATAATGGCATGTTCAGTTATGAAATTTTATGTGTCCTTAATCTGTAGAAACTTTTTGCCTTAAAACGCTATTTCTCAAATTGTTCCAACAATTTTGGTACCAGAGCCAAAATATTAAGTGAGTAAAGAGAGAGAGAAAAGCAAATTAAGTGAGTAGTGAGTGAAATAAAACTCATGGCAAGTAATGGTAATGCAATGAGTGTTGCACAACCACTTATTCCCATTTTTAAAGGAGAAGTTTATGAATTCTAGAGTATAAATATAAGAACTATAGTCAAATCTTAAGATCTTTGGGACTTGGTAGAACTGTTAACTTTAAACTGGTTATAAATTACAAAGGACTTCTCTGCTTGACTGCAAAATCAAGAGAGATAGAGCAACAACTTAGAAACTTCACTCAAGACTTTTATCAAACAGATAGTGAGCAGGAAAAAGGATGCTGAAGAACTGATATGATTTTGTTATTCCTAGCTAGCAAATTTATACATTAAAATTGCAACCATAAACCCATAAAATCAGCAACTACATACCCATGATAAACACGTCCTTAAAATATCTATCACTTACCCATTAACTATAAGACTAGGTCAATTAGCTTAGATAATTGAAAACATAAAAGAGCATGTGACTAAATAAAAAAATGTGACTTACTAATTTTTGCATTATATTTAACACTCTCCCATAATACAAAAATTTACGAGACCAATCATTTGTCTAAAATACTCAAACTTTTCCAAAAGAAGAGGTTTTGTAAACATATCAACTAGCTAGTCATTCATATTGCAATATACAATCTGAATACTTCTTTTTGCCACCAATTCTCTAATAAAATGATGTCGAGTCTTAATATGTCTCGTGCGACTATGATAAATAGGATTCTTCATCATGGCAATGGTAGATTAATTATCACAATAGATCATAGTTACCTCTTACTTTTGCTTCATATCTTCTAACATTATTTATAACCACACTGTCTGACAAGTTACTGAAATTACAATCATGTATTCAGCATTTGATGATGATAGATTTATAGATGTTTGCTTCTTTGAGCTCCAAGATATGA